TTAGATTTTAAATTTAACAATATTAACTAAAGATAATAATAAATATATTTTCACAGTGAAATAAGTATGAACACTTTTATAAAAAGGACAGATAATTTACAATATAACAGGTAAAAATATGACAAAACCAGATTCATTATGACAAAACCGGTAAAATTTACTTGATATGTTAAAAGTATGGACACTTTTATAAAAATGATAGATACTTACCGATAACCAAAGTTTACCGGTTACCAAATTTTTTAATAGTTTTTCATATTTTCTACCTAAAACATTATTAGTTGTCAACATAATAGGTACCGCTAAACCGAATTTATTAAATACATTTTAATGTATCCGGTAATGCTGTATATTAGCCGTATATTAACCCGCCTTTCCTGAGACATTCCCGTAAAATAGTAGGGGTTTTTTTCGACAATAATTAGAGAACGGAGGGTGTTTGGGTGGTGGGGGCTAGAGGAAAAAAAATGTTTTTGAGAAGTAATTTTAAAATTTAATTGTATAATATTATTTTTTAAAATGATATGGAGAAAATAAATTATTATTTTAAATAAAATGTTTATGCATTAATTAAATAATTTCGGTGGTAAATAAATTATTGTTAGTTCTTTAGATTTTAGGTTTGAGTACTATAATGTCAGTAGTGTGAGTTTTCAATATTACATGATTAAGAGTTATTTTTGAACTCATAATATCTTATTCACCTTAGATTAATAAAAAAATATAATTTTTATTTTATAAGTTAAAAATATATATAAATTTAAATTCTCTAACCTAATATAATTAAAATGTATAAACTTTTTTATAAACTTAAATTAAAATAGAATTATAAAAATATTTTATTTTATGAAAATATTTAAATTTAAAATGAGTTTTATCTAAATAAAATTAAATGATGAGATGAAAATTTTAAAATAATTTAAAATATATCTTAACTTAAATTTAAGTTTTAACTTGATGAAAGTTATATCTTTAACATAAATTTAAGTTTTAACTTGATGAAAGTTATATCTTAAAATAAATATATTGTAAGCTAACAAAATGAAATTTAAAAATATAATTTTGACTGTAAAAATAGTTTTCAAATGAAAATTTTTTAATTTTTAACATTTGATTTCAAAAGTTAATTTGGCGCTAAAATCATTTTCCAAAAATAATACTAAGTGGGCATAAGATTGAAAGCAGTGTAATTGTTGGGTTTTTTTTTTGTGTTATTATTATTATTATTATTGTATATTAATTTGGGGTTAGTACAATTGATATCTATTCAAAGATAACTCTTAATCATTTGACATTGAATGTTCATACTTTAGATATTCCTCGTGCTAGAACTCGAGATCTCAAAGAATACCAACAATTTCTTTACCAACGAAATCGTTTGGCTCGTTCTTTTGTGTTATTAATTTTAATTTTGTTTAATCACTAAACTGTAAAAAATTACAAGTATATCGCTAAGCTCTTTAAATTTGATTTTTAGTCATTACTCTATTAAGTCTTAAACGATTTGGTAGCGTAATGTTTCATTTTGGTAATATAAAATCTAAAAATACCAACAATAAGTGATTTAGTGGGATGACACACTAAATTTCTTTAAGTAAAGTCAGGGTTTAAATCATGCATTTGTGAATGGAGTAAACTGAATTGAGAGGAATTGCATTTACCTCTCTGCAATACCTAATCCTGATCAGTCAATTTATAAATCGAAAACTAATGGTTATATAAAAAAAAATCAAAAAATGAAATTTTTGAAAGAATATGTGACATTTGCAATTTTCATTTTTCTAAAAGAATCTTCAAAAAATTTCTTCTTTCATCTTGTTTTATAATTGTTTGAACTGTTCTTCTTTTATTATTTTAGATATTATCAAACTCGTTTTATCATTCTTTTTCATTCTATTAATTTATTGTCTTCTTTTAACTTTATTTAACACCCACAAAACTTCAATACATATTCCTATTTTTTGTTTCCAACCTTTTACAAATTTAATAAACATGTGAAAATCTAAAAAAAAAATTAAGTAGATGAACAACACACAAAAAAATCTACAGTAAAAGTACTTGTCGATAATTTTATCTGAATCGTGGAAATCGTGGAACTCGTCCAATAACTCAATAGATCTTATTCAGTTGTGAATTTAAAGAATTCGGGCTCTCTAAATGTTGTATACCACTGTTTTAGGATTTTCACATGAATAATGATTAAATTTATAAGTTTTCTCTTTCAATATGAATGTGTTAGGGTACTTGTCATAAAAATAAATCCATTTATACTGTCACGGGGCTAGATATCTGCTAGTTGATTCATGCGGTATTTAGACGATTTCCAAGTCGAAATGGCGCCTAAGTCAGCCTTAACCACGTCCTTGTGAGTCTCAGACTCACTAAGCGACGAACAAACCCGCCAAGGTTAGGCAACTATGCGAAAGCAAAACTCAATTGGGGCTAATCCAAGCCACCTGGGTTGAACGGATATCAAGTTAGGCAACAATGCGGAAGCAAAACACCACTGAGTTAATCCAAGCCTCCAAGGTTGAACGGATCTTAGAAGCACAAGCACTGTGGGGACTTTCTAAGTCACCAGGACTTGAATCACTTTTGTAACTTCAAAAGAACTCGGAAATAAACAACTCTCAAGGTTATCTTAGCCCTCACGTTAGGCAACACAAGCCACAAAGGCTTCAACACAAAGGGGAACAAGCCGAAAATGCCAGGAAGCTAGAAACGAATAACTCAGAGAGAGTAAGAGTAAATGTCTGAGTTTTATTACTCTGAAAGAATGGAATTGATGAAATGATAACAAATGAGGGGATGAGCTCTCTATTTATAGTTGAGGCCCTCAAAATCCAACGGTCTAGATCAAAGTACATCGACGACCTAGATTAATTCTGATCAAAATCCAAGGAACATGCCAGATCTGATGGTTCTTGGCAAGCCCAACACTCTGTATTATTATCCTACAAAAATTTGCGCGCACATGTCTCAGTCCGAATCCATGAGCCTTGACAAATCTACCCCCATCGAACATGTAACACCCTCGTCGCTTCTCTCGGACGCCTCGAAATTGATCATTCACGGACTCGTAAGCATTTTCCAAGAATTGAGCCAATTCATCTGCCCAACAAGCCCAAGTTTGCACAATAGAACCACTCTTGTGAACATTTGCGCTAATATACATGGACCCAAAAGTTTAGTCCGTGACATTCTCTCCCACTTGATCTATAGACGCCCTCATCGCTAGGTGAGAACACTTGGTTTTGATCACCTTGGACGCTTTAACAAAGCACCTTGGCTTGCTCGCCTTGGTTTAGACTTTGAATTCTTGTTGTTGTTACACCAATAACTTGTTCTGACACCACTTGTGGCGGGGGTACAGCTCTGATACTACATAGCATCATCAATTTATATTCCCTATATATTCACTAAAAGTGATATTCTTCTCCTTTCTCAAAAGAGATTTGAAGACAAGAAGAAATTTGTAGCTGAGATTTTCATAAACATAACACATTGCATGCATTTTTTATTTTGACAGATATTAATGAAGTTAGAGCGCTGCAAACAAAGAACATGAATACATAATGCAACCCAACAAAGACCCCCAAGTTGCTTTTTCCACTAAAGACTGCGGTATTTCTAGGAATACGAGTGATATAGAAATATATATATATATATATATATATATATATATATAAGAAATTGGCGATTTGGTATTTTTCTCATTTGATATTTGTAGGTCAGATTTGATGAAGGGGTCATTTAGGTAGGTGATGACTAAAGACAAAATATGATTCTGTCTTCGATGCCAACTTAGTGGGGGAAATATCACACAAGTCTGACTTCACATCAAGTTCATCCCAGTTGCACATCAAGAATGAAATTTGTGTGCAAAGAAAAATTCGGAGTGATTTATTTGAGAACCAACTCACCAAAGGTCTCAATTCTGTTCCTTTCATCCTTCGGTGATCAGAGGTGTGAGCTTCAGCAGCACCATCCCTGCTCCCAACTGCGCGGCAGTCACCAGCATTTGATACAACAGGGTTTCCATTTTGGAACAAAACTGTCACACCAGCATGTGATACCGGTGACATCTTCCTTAAGAAGCTCGGCTTCTGTTTTTGAATAACCTGTTTTGACAGCTTCCTTTACATTGGTTTCATTTCTTCTCCTAACAACTTCATCTAAAATGTTCTCTAATTTCTGGGTCACAAATTCAGCAGCCTTAACATTTCCACGTCTATTTATCTGTCTGTCTATTCAGCGTCCTTGCTTATCTCATTATCTCAAACTTTCTTATACTAACGGAACATTAACACTGATCAAATAAAATAAACAAACGTGACAATTTTGACCTTCTTCCTTATAGAGAACTATTCTACTCCCTCCCCCACTCTAAAAAGACAGCATTTTTTGTTTTAATTCTCATAAATCCACCTAAAACCTAATTTTCTTGGCAAAAATTATAAAGTCTTAATATTTTAATATCAACCAATTAAACAAAACATGATTTAGACAGAAGAGCCGGAAACTATAAATTTACTGTTTGGAATCCCTGAGTTTAACAGAAGCTGCAAACCTGAGTTTGATGGACCTGGGTTTTTCTTTTCATTTTCTAATTGGGCTTGAGAGGCTCAAATCTTGAACAATGATACCCACCAGAACAATCTTGCTAGAACTAAGAGACAAAAGACATTCAGCCCACATTATTGTTAAAAGAAAAAAAAATTGTGTTTTTAAGTTTATTTGGAGTTAGACCTCGACATGATGGGTGTAAGTGGAAGCATGTCTAGTCGGTAATTTTTGCATTTAATTAAATTTCAAGGTCTCATTAACAACTTGATTACTTGTTTAACAAGTATTAGCGAATGGAAAAATGTTGGAAATGGAAAACCCATCATGATTTTTGCTTTTAAGATGAAACGACAACAAACAAGTTCAAGTGGGAGCAGCTGGATAAAAGAAAGAAGCTTTAAGCCTTAAAGGACATTAAATATAGAAGATTTGGAGAAACATAAGACGTACGCTACATAAATAACAAATACTAATAGTAGTGATGCTTCCCTCCACAAAAATATAATTATGATCATACAACATTTACGCAAGCAGCAGATCCTGATTCGATTTTGTGGGATCCACTAATCCGACAAGCAAGCGCCCTCTTAAACCTTCTGGCTGTTGGCCACACCCGATCATTGTGCTTCAGCATCTAATTTTAAACTAATTTATCAAGTCTCAAACACTCCCACGCTTACTAGTACTAAATTTTCACATGCCACTGCAAGTTCTTGGAGATATCAAATTCAAAGCTCCCTTTCACATCCTGGAGCAAAAACCAATCTCAGGGGAGAAAAAAAAGAAGGGCAAAAAATCTTCACCGGAAAACAAAGCTCTCTTTGACTCTCTCCAAAGAGTTCAACTAGGAATTTGGATAATTGCTTCACTGAAACAATTGACAACCCTATGTACAAAAATGCTGAAATCAGTCACCATTCCCTGATAGTCTGATTTTCACCCTGACTAACCTATATTGAGTTTAGAAATGGTAAATTTTAATGGAATTAGTAAATACCATTTTAGACTAGTCTTGGTTTGTGGTGGTAGTCAATGAAGAACTAATCGTTGGCATTTGGTTTCTGGAGGAGAATCAGAGGCATCATAAAGACCCCTTTTCCTGATTACTTTACCACAGGTGTTTAGAGTGTTGCAGGCGTTAATGCTGATCAAGGAGTCTTGGTGGAGGAGTTGTGGGGGTGGTGGAGGTGAAGGAATGGTCACCGGTGGGATCTCAAAGGACTCGAGTGGTGGTGGTGGGTGTCTCCATTGAGGCAGTGACCCTGCTAAAAGAAGGGTTTGCAGGAGAGGACCAGCTTTCATCACTGCTTGTAAAAGCTTTCCCTTTTCGGGCAATGGCTTATCAGGCACTAGCTCTACGGTTGTTTCTGCCATGGATTGACATTGTGGTGCTGGTGGTAGTTGTGGTTGTTGAACAGGAGATGAAACAATGCTCCCCTCACAGTCAGAGGAGGAGAACCCATTGTTGGAGTCAATTCCTCTTCTGCGTTCATCCTCAACGCCAGAAACTCCAGAGAGAGGAGCAACTTGCTGCTGCTGCTGCTGAAGTAGGAGTTTCTCAAGGAAAAGTTTCCGACATTTCTCCTGTGCTTCATCTCTCTCTCTCATTGCCTTGCTTAGCAACTCTTCGAGTTGAATTAGCTGGTCATCTCTCTTTCTCAGCTCCCCCTGAGCTGCCATCCTAGTCTCTTCCAGCTCCAGAGTAGTATAAAAAAGAGAATACCTAAGCTCTTCCAGTGTCTGCATAATTACAACACCAAATTCGCACTTTAGCCAAGAACTCAATATTAAAGAAAAAAAGGCTCCATTTTACATAATCAAACCTAAGAAAAACAGGACCAGCAAGAATGTGTGTTGTTTACCTTCCCTTGACAGAAGTAAGCCCAGCTAAAAAGAGGACCTTTCTGACTGTCCATGTGCTCAGAGATGGAAACCTCAGAAGAACTGAACTGAACTGAGAATAAGAGAGAGGAATAGAAGATAAATTAATATGGGGCTTATGAGTGGTTTCTACCAAGTCTTATAAGGAGCAGCAACAGCAACTGTTGTTTTCTATTTTCTCTCTTTTCACGTTGCTCTTTCTTTTTCATATTTTAAATATAAATGGGGTTAGACAAAAGCAGAAAATACCAAAAGCCTCTCGATAGCTCGCTCAATTCTAATATCATTCCATGGTTGGTTAGTGTTTGGAACTCATTCCAGTGCATGACTGTGAGCTAGCCTGAAGAATCATGCATCGCATCAATTGCGGGAACTGACTACTTGCCATTTTCAACTTTAACCAATAACCACACCTCTGATCTTTTGGTACTATGATTATTTGCATGTCGCTTTACTTCTTTAATCTTTTAGCCACCTTACCTAGATGAATTTACCGGGGGGGGGGGGGAGGAATTCACTTGAATTTGTTTCCTTAAAAGAAAAGTATGAAAGCAATAGTCAAAGTTCACATCTTTGCTTTTGAACCCTTATTTGACAAATCAGTTTGAGAGAGTGGGAGTTTCTGTCTCTGTTTTGGGTCTTATGCCTTCCTGAAACAAGACAAGCAAATAAAATGGCTTGAGATTATACCATTGCATTGAAAAATGCAAATTTGAACACATACATCTTCCTTCACATGAAGTATAGATATATAGTAGATTTTAGACACAGATTTCCAAGTAAAATAGTATAGATATTTAGTAGTTTAGACACAGATTTCCAAGTAAAATATGTAGCATTAAGTTTCCATTTTACCAACCCTTGATAGATTAAACAAATTCGGTTATCAAACAGATTTCTTAATTAAATTCATTTTCTTTATAATGTTAGAATTTAAATATAATTTTATTTTTAAAAAAATCCATCTTCTCATCCCGTTAATCTCATTGATAATCGATATAGTTTCAATATCTGTAACATAACGCAAATAGTTTAATCCAAAAGTTGACCTAAAAAATTTATAACATGTTAACATTATAAACTCAACCTGAGGTGAGAAGCTGTTGGATATAATTGAATTTTAGAGTTAAAATAAAGATGTCATAGTCCCTTGTTTAACAATATTTTGCAATCATACTATATGACAAATTCAGAGGACTTAGTTCCTAGAATCTTGAACAAGACAAGGTTTGGTTTCGGTCAGTCTGACTCTGGGTATTTTTTTTGACCCGGAACGAAATAAAAGAAATGAATACCTATTTATGTTCTTTATTTTTTGGCCAGGACGAAATAAAAAAAAATGGACCCATAATTATGCAAAATCTTGTAATTCTAAATTAATAGACACTATGAAAAATATTATAGACCCTGAACGGGCGCCCCTCTTACCCCGGCCCAGGGCTTGCACTGGTTTCAGTCATATGTCTATAAAATTATTATGTTTACTGTTTAGTACAAAGACGTGGTAAAATAAATTTAGGTATCATCCTTTAACTTAACTTTGGAAACTGGAAAAAGGATTTTTGTTTTATTGGCCTATACAATTAATTATCTGCCTCTTCTGTTTTTTTTTTTTTTTTGTTATTCTCTTTCGATGGTGGAATAATTTATTGGCATGTGCTCTGAGCTGGTACTAAAGAATAATGTTTATGCACAATAAAATGAAGAAATTGTTTATCATATTATTATGTTGAAGTTCTTATCCGAAGATTGGGAATGGATTTTTTTTTCTTTTGCTAAATTTAGGAGACAAAAACCAGCATGCCTTTATTGACAAACAAAGAGAGATTATGGGAATGAAAGGATTGAATTTTACAACTCCATGGAACTCGTTTGTTGACTTAAAGAATGTTTGCATGTGCAATTTTTTTTTTTCTTTTGGAATATATCACATTTAGAAGCCTATAAATGTAGAAAATTTGCATACCGTGTGTGTCTTTGTCCCTCACTCATCATGTTCATATGTTTCAATGGTCTATAAAGGGAGTTGGTAACCAAACTTTGTCACCAATATTTTCCCAGGAAAGCTACTGGACTCAAGTTTGAACCAGAAAAGTCCTCATTGGTGTAAAGTGGAAAGCCTTCCATTTGACTAATTCATGACCCTTTTGCAACCAAACAAATGTAATCAATTCATTGTTTTATAAAATAAAAAACAAACCCTAAACCTATGTATACGATGAGCTAGTATTTGAATGTCTTAAATCATGCAATCTAAACTAAAAAAGAAAAAAGAGAGTAATTAATTGGTAAGGGTATGAAGTAGGAGAGGAGGAGTGGTGAAAAAAATATCAAGGGATTAAAATCCAAATGGAAGGGAATAAAATGAGAGGCGCAGCTGCCTTTATGTCCCATCTAATGATACAAAGGTGAGTGATTTATCTTTATCTATGGCCATTATTGGATTATGAGAATCAACCTGCATATGTGGGCTTGCCTTAGGAAACGGCAAACTCAAGCATCAGACACACCTTTCCAACCCTTGTTTTGACAGTGAAACACTGTGTTTTTGCCATCATCATTCTTATTACCTTTTTTTTTTTTTTGCTTACTGATTCTGTTCTCCAGAATCACAATTTTGGCCCTTTCCCACTCTATCAACTCTATTATGATTACTATATAGTGTTTTACATTGGCCAGATATATACTCTGCACATACTTCAAATCATGTATCATTAAATACGTGGATGGTTCAAAAGAGTCGACTATGAATAGTTATTTTTAAAAAATTAATTTTTTTATATTTATTTTTATTTTATAAAAATTTATAAATTTATTTACTTAAATATAAAATTTAAATATTATGCCTACTAAAAATATAATCAATAAAGTTGACTCCATGTCCATGGCGTACGTAAAGTAAGTGCAAATTGAATATTTAATGTTCCAGCAGTTTAACTGCTAACCGTATCCATTTGGGTGTGTCTAACGAAGAATGATTCGATAAAATTATTTAACATTTTTCAATGGACACTATGCTTTATTTTCTTTTACAGCCTCGTCCGAAAAGTAAGTTAACCCATGATTTTAACCTCTTTGTAAGGTAAGCAACAATCCTATTATTTCTTTAATGTTGGAACTTGATTTCCATCTATCCTCAACAATGTGTAGTGGGTTTCTAGATGGAAATCAAATAGCGTTGAAAATTTGCATAAAATGTATCATTTGCTCGTGGCATGTTATGAGATAACAATAATCATCATGATAGTAATTTTAATTATTGTTTTAATAAACCGAATATATTTGAAGATATGGCTTGCATAAAGCCTACCCCTTTAGTTTCTCTTCCCATGATATGTAGAAAAAGTGTTGCCGAGGAGACAATATTTATCATCATTGGATCACCTTTACCAACAACATTATTTTCGTACAGTTTACTTACCATAAAACAAACATGGGTTTATACAATCAATTCCACAATTCAGTGGAGACCGTCTTTGCGAAAACATTTGGTCTGCCATATTAGAGTTTCATTGTCAATAGTTGCCATGAAAATATCATATTCTAAAATCAAAATATATAATTTATTCTTTTATATTATATAATTGCAAAACAAAGAAACGTGAAGCAAGGTTACTATAAAGCTGTAATGAACCCACCAAGATTCAAAAGTAAAACCGAGTAGGTGGGGGGTTTAACGAATTCCTTTTAGGACAGTTTAAGGAATCATTTCTACTTAAAGTTGTTAATACATACGCTATTGCTTTGACCATCACTTTGTTAACCATCTTATAAGTAACAAAAGTTTGCTCAGGTGTTCTTTTGAGCCCCTTTATTCGTAACTAAAATTTCAATGTCTCATAAAAATTAATTATCATAGAAAATTTAATATAAATTTAATATATTAATTAATTTCAAAGAATTATAAATTAAAACATGATTTAGCAAAATGTCTTGTTTTTTTTTTATTTTTGAATAAGTGTGATAATCAAATTACTTTTTTTACATAATTATCGTATTCAATCAATTTAGATGATATATTGTGAAGACTTCTCTTAATATAATTTATTTTATTTGCGACACTAAAATTAAAATGATCAACTATTGTTTAAAGAGTATAAATGATAATTAATATAACAAGTAAATTATTGATTTGCGTAGGCTGATGTTGGGGCTCAACCACCAAATCCGGTTACTAAATCTTTGTTCCTGCAAAAGCTGTATATACCAGATTTAGTTCCCACAAAAAGATATAGAGAATTTATATTACGTGATTCATTTTGAAGATCTGAATGGGATAGCAACTAAGATTTAACATATTATAATATATATTTGCCAATCAAATCAATTTGATAGTATACGATTGTAGCAACAAAATGGAAATGGGATATAAAAACCCAAATACATATTTTTAACGACGACAACAACAAAGGAGAAGGTTTTCATTGCATGGAATGTGGGTGGGATGTTAATATTAAAATTGCTTAAACTAAAAAAAAAAGTCCTTCAATGTACTTTTTTTTCTTTGAATACTTAAAAGTATTTTTTTTCCAAAATAAATTTAAACATTTTTAGATGTAAAGTATCTGAATTATTTTTTTGATAAAAATAAATATATTACTATTTAAGTGTTTAAATGATTTTTCATTAAAACAAATCATTTAAACAATTAAAGCAAAATAACATAATTCAGAATTTTTTTAACTTTAATCTTATTAAAATTCAGTGAATAGTTCAAACCAAACAATCGTAGTGGTAAAAAATTATTATTCTTCCTTGAGATATCAATTTCAAATACTGTAAATGTTAAGAGTGCGATTATTTAATGTTATATCATTGAGATTTGTTTTTAAACAATTACTACTTATACTTATCTTATTTTAATAAAAAAATTCAATAAATAAAATAAAATAGGATTGAGATGGACGATGAAGAGTGGGGTCACAACGGCTGCTACCTGTCGAGTGGAAATCATGGTTGCCAACCCTTCTTGATTAAGCCGTGTGGGGTCCAATTCCATTAGCCAAAAAAGAAAATTGAAATAAAAAACGTAATATATAGAGAGATTGCATTCCCTTTAGTCATTAGGTGGGTCGTCAATTCCGTCTCAAATCATATCATTGCTTTAGATCTTGGGAATCCCAAGCAAAAGCTAAAACGACCCAAGTTTAAATTTAATAATTCTTAAATATTTTTGTCTCAAATTAATAGACTTTGAATGTTAATATATATATATAAGGTGTATTAAAAATTATTTTTTGAATAAAAATATTAGTTATAATATTAAATGATTTTTATTTGAATTATACGACGATTTCTAAATATTTGTGTGAACTACAAAATAATTTTTATATCACCGGACTTGGTTCTTCTGAACTACATCGTCGCAAAGGGAAATCGTCTTGTAGTCAATATGTTTTCAAAAATCGTCGTATAATCCTGATGATATTATAGGTTATTATAACAATCACCACATATCCTGATATAATTTTTGTTGTACCTTATTCAAATTTAAGACAAAAACTAGATCAAGACATTAGTGACTTTACATTTTAACAATAGATCATATTGCATATACGTATAGATCACAAATTCAATTCGAGTCGAATGTAGGGAAAAAATTATTTTCGAACATAAATTGCGTATCTAAATTAATATAAAAATTCAAAATAAGAAAGTTCAATTGTCACACGATCGATAAAAAGATGAAAATATGTTTAAAAAAATAAAAATAAAATAAGTGCTATAAAATATAATTATTGAAAATTTTAAAACAAAAAATATAAATAGTCGAGTGTCAACAATATAACCGATGTTGTAGTCTTACCAACAAAGGAAAGTCTAATGAGTGGCATCCTATTTTTAGGCTAAAAACGGTGACTTCAAGACGTAACCGAAAATATGAAAAAAAAAATCATAACATTTTAAATTGAACCTAACATAAATGTTACCTTTTCTCGAACATTAACATTTTCCTTTTCTAACCGAAAATGTAAGTAAAAAGATAATTTCCAATTACATTTCAAAATCACTATTTTTTTAATCTTAAATTAAGTTCTTACACGTCAAAAGTGTAATATTAAAATATTTTGAGTACACTTCAGTAATTGATAAACCATGAGGAGTGAAAACAAATTCGTACTCTATATTGAATTTCTAAAACTTACCCTATATTTTATTTCATTATCTTTATTAAAAACAAGTCCGAACGGCCCGGTGATATAACGCGGTTTGGGTCTCAAAAGTCTAATAAACCGACGTCTTATTTAGTTTGAAAGTTGTCTTTTAAAAGTAGCCTTAAAATAATCACAAGAAACAGAATTTTGCCAAGTGACATCTTTCCAGTAATCGAAGATTAATTTAATTTTCACGGTTATATCATGTGAACGGTAACTCTGGGGGATCATACATTTGATTAAAAAGAAAAATAAATACCATCAGATTAGCATGAGTGTTGGTCCCACACGGTTTTGTTAGATAACGAAGAATTTGGTGACATATGAACTGCCCACTGATTGTCTGCTTATGATAATTTTAGTAAAATAAATTAGGAATTTACCATGCTCCACGTTCACATATTACTGTGATTTTATCGTTTCTGAATGTAAACTTGAGATGTGAATAGTATATGTACATGGCAGAATATGGTGTTATTTGATCGGAATTCATTTGAATGGGTTATTAGATATGGAAGCAAAAATTCTAAATAGGAAAGATTAAGGTAAAACCGAAATAGCCAAATTTCACTACAACGTGATAATAGATAATGCAATTCATTGGACCCACATCAATTTGAGATGTCACGTCGGGTCATCAAACCAAAGCCCAATGGACAATGGGAGATCCAAAGCCCCTCGTTTACCAAATAAAGAAGTTCGCCTGGGCCTGGGTTGGATGTTTCTCTCACGCACGTGCAAGTGCGACAACATCAACAAAAGAACCACCAACATTAAATCAAATCCTGTATTCACTTCATTTTAGAGTAAGATGATTATTACCTGAATTATCGATATAGAAGTGAGATAATTACCTGATCCGATCAAAATGAAATCTTTAAAAATGGGAAAGACAAATCAGAACGTCGTCTGGGTACGCACGTGCAAGAACAACACCACGTCGCGTTAAATCAAACCACAAGCTAATTCTATTCATCTGATATCGAGATCCCCCCTTCAATTAGCTGGTTCCAGGTGGCAAGAAAATGCAAGATTTTCTTTTCCATTTTTTCCCTTGTCTTGTTTATTGTACAATCATTCAGCGGTTAGATAAGCTGCAAAGATACATGACAACGTTAAAGTTCTACAGACAATGAAGAAATCAGAAATATGAACTAGCGGCTGGGAATGATTGATGTTCATTCAATCTTTTCTGCTCATTTTGATATTAATCGGAATTTCTTTGTATGATTGCACTTTCTCAACTGCTTTGCGTGATGGTAGTGACCTTTCAATTGAACATCTTTTTTCAGCTTTTGGGTTACAGGTTTCTTCCATTGAGACTAATGAAGTTGGACCATCTCCAAGCGGATAACTGGGCACAAAGTTGAGATCATCAATCTCAAATAGATTCTCTGCTCTTGCTTCTGCCTCTTTGGATTTAACCCTACCAGATTGCCGTCTCAAACAACGTCTACAATGAAGAAAAAAACACGTTATGATTTTATGAGAAAATCATGCACTGGTTCAACTCTGATAATGACAAAGAGATTGATTAGCACCCGAACTACGTATATTTATGATATACTATTATAGCTGACCCTTTATTTTCATCCCTCTCTTTATCTCCACCTCTTCGGCTTGTAGTTAAAAGGCCCAGAGCTGCAAGGAAGCTAACAAATCCAATGTCAACAGATTTAGAGGCGATAAAATGTTTAAAACTAAAAATGGAAGTTCATCTGAGAATGTTAAAAGATAACCTTGGCTTCTAGCATTACGTCTTATGTTAGCATTAGTCGTGCATTCATCGGCAGCCTGCTCTACACCATGTGTGCTTGTGTTTTGGAAGTTGATATCCGCTTTTCCCTGCTCCCATTATACATAAAAAGGAGAAGATGGATTTCTTTAGGGACCAAAATGGATCAAGTGAGAGAATTAACTTGAAAGCAGAGATATGACAGATGTTTTTCTAGTTGAAAGTCTCTTAATCAATCACAGGCATATGTATTGAATGTGTATGATCAATGTTGACCTCTTTTCCGGGGTTTTTGGCTTTAAGTAGAGCATCCTTGCATACAAGGTCCTGTTGCAGAGCTTTCACCTTTTCTCTCCCCTATATTAAGCTCCTGGACAATCAGAAAAGCAAATCAATATTAATAATAACAACTAAACAATTTAGGAATGGAATCATACATGGAAAAATAAAATAAAAACCAACACACCGCTAACAATTGACTATTTGACTGTGCAAGGTTCCGATTCTGTACCTGTAATTTTTGCATACAACTTCTCAGATTCTGCAACTCAGTTCCACTTAATAATCTTACTGTTCAATGAAAATGAAGGAAAATAAAAATCCATTGATTTTGGTTAATTTATTTTTAAAATTTGAGCTTTGAAATGGTACGTCAAAAATATATTATTACAGTTACGTTTTTTAAAAAAAAATTAATGACAAAAGATAAACAAAAACAAAATAAAAATGATCATTAAACCATTGATTTTGTGCCACTGTTGAAATATACAAAGGTTCATAAAACAGAGACCTTTGTTTCTGTTTAAGACCCCTTTTTAAAAGGGATTAGTTGGTTTAACGAAGATGGGTAAAGGAGTAGGCTTCGTTTTGTTTTGCTACCTTCTTGCACAATCTTATAATTTAGTATAAACTATATGTTTAGTACTTAAATTGTTATTTTTATTCTATTTTGGTATCTAAATTTTCATTTTTTTTCAAAATCATATCTAACGTTTACTTTTTGTTTTGTTTTGGTATTTTGCCTTAAAAACTTAACGGGACTGTTGTACGTTATATTTTTTTATGGGTAAATTACATCACTCATATATTATTAAAATAATAATAAAAATATCATGTCATAAAAATATTAATAAAATAAACTAGAGTGATTAAAACATGAGTAAGTTGAAAGTCGAGTAGTTAAATTGAATTTTTTTAAATTTCAGTGAGCAAAATAGGAGTGAGAATATAGTTGAGTGTTGAATGATGTAATTTACCTATAAAAATATCACATGAGTTTCGTTAAGTTTTTAAAAGGTGGGATATAAAAATGAAACATAAACTAAAATTTAAGTATGATTTCGAAAGAAAATAAAGTTTAGATACCAAAATAGAACAAGAAAAATAATTTAGGTATAAAACGTGTAGTTTACCCTATAACTTATTTGGTTTACCGGTTTGAGAAGGGAAAAAAATGCCAGAATGGGCCACGGGTGAATTGATAACTTGGTTGTTTCATTTAAATTTTCAAGCACTCACAGTCGTGAGCACATGGAAACATATGCTACTAGATTTTGTCCCCTACCACCAATAATTGAGCACTCTCTTTTGTCAGTTCCCAACACGACCGTAAACATTGGGCCTAGCATGTGCTTGGACAGCTCACACTTCAAAGCTCTCGTAGGGTCGGTGCTCATAAAAATATTTCCTATCCAATGGGGACCGATGGCTTCATAACGTTTAGGGCAGGGAGCCGCTATTTCAAGCATTTCGAGGGATTCAATTCGTTAAGAGATCTTCTTTTGGGCAAAGGAATATGATCCAAATTAACAGTAGAGAGAGTCCTCCATGTTTCCACCTTCTTTTAACATTAATTGGGATGGTAACTATAATTTGCCTTGTGTTTGAAAACAAAAGAAGAAGAAAAATTAGTACCAAGTAGTAATTCATCCTTTACTTTCAAAAGTGTGATCCGAAAGCAAAGGAGATGCAGTTATTTTAAGGACCTTTTATCCTAATTAAAAGTATCCGGAAAGTTGTTTTTACCAACGTAATTTAAATCAAGATAATGATACGCTTTAAAAGGCTCCATAATCACACACTTGATGAAATGAAACTGGTACTATATTATGTGACTATGACTTCAACAATTATCAATTATTAATTGATTTTTTTTGGGGTGGTGGGGGCTCAAAGTATACTCTAGGTGGGATCCCAAAGTAGTTACTTGATTTGTATTTGGAATCCTCAGATTTCTATTTGAAAGTGATTGCTACCCACCATCATGGGGGTTTACTCATTGAAATATAGGAACTGCTTTGCTTATTCCTATTAATCTCGATAAATATTAAATTTGATTGAATTAACAATAGGAGTCGATTATAAAACTAAGGTGAAAATATATTATTCAGATCCTTATTATATTTCCAACAACCGTATGCCAAGTTAGTAGAGTGTAAGAAGCATCAATAATTTTAAACATATAGCGGCGTTTACATAGGAAACGCCAATAATTTTAAACATATAGCGGCGTTTACAGCGGTGTTTAAAAATATAGGAACTGCTTTGCTTATTCCTATTAAATTGTTCTACAGCGGTGTTTTTAGCGGCGTTTTAAGAGTAAATGCCAATAATTTTAAACATATAGCGGCGTTTACATAGCAAACGCCACAAAATGGTAACTTTAGCAGCGTTTTTATAAAAATGCCGCAATAGGATCATCAATAGTGGCGTTTTTTCAACAAACGCCGCAAAAGAGTAGTACTTTAGTGCCGTTTTTATACAAACGCCGCTAAAGACTCGTAATTTAGTGGCATTTTTATACAAACGCCGCTATAGAATTGTACTTTAGTGGCGTTTTTATACAAACGCCGTTATACACATGTACTATAATGGCGTTTGTGTTTACAAACGTCGTTAAAGACTCATAATTTAGTGGCGTTTTTATACAAACGCCGCTAAAGACTCATAATTTAGTGGCGTTTTTATACAAACGCCGCTAAAGACTCATACTAAATGAAGTGTTACATCTATTGTTTTGGCCATTTGGAACTCATTAACACCTTAAAAATATTTATATATATAATGTAGTCTTAAACGAGCAAGTTAATATTATGATATGCTAATATTTTAAATATCTATAATTAATTTTAAATAACTAAAAAATATCTATAATTAATTTTAAATAACCCTATTTTCTTATTGTTGTTTAGCCCAAAGCCTGAATAGCTTCTTCAGGGCATATTAGAGGCTGGAAATGTAACGGGCTCTATAACGGTCCACTTAAAAGCAGCTCACTCATTCCCAATCCGATTTTAAGTTCAAGCGAAATTTCTTCAAGAGACGAGCAAAGCAACGCGAAAAAGAAATTGAAACTTGCAAAAAAAAAAAAAAACACAGGGAAAATGACGATGTTTCACTTTTTCAACTGTGCGATACTCTCACCTTCGGTCCTCACGCCGTTTACTACTCCGCCACTCCTTTGTACGTTTTGCCTCCATTTTTACTCGATCCTTTACCTAGTTTTAATGTAATTTGTGATATATTTCTTTTTTATAATATCTGTAATTTTTTAAATTTCCATGGAAGTGAACTATGCTTTGAACTTAAACTTCGATATGTGTTGAAACTAGGAAAAAGAAAATATAGATGGAAAAAAATATTTCTCTTCTTTTAAGAACAGATATATCCGCATTAGTTCTAAAAAGGCAAAAGCCTTTGCCTCTGCCGCCCTAGATCCAATTTATCATTTTCGTTCTTACCATATTTTTCGCATCAATTTAACCTCGAAGATGCTCAATTGCATCATTCTATACCCTATACCTCATTGAAAACCTAAATTAAGAGTTTTAAGTTAGAGAGTAGGGTTTAGGATTTAGAGGTTATGGGATTATGGTTAAGGGTTTAGAGTTATCAATTTTGTTAACAGATTTTGATTAAAATATTCGAAAGCTACAAGTTACAGTAATTAGGTATAGTGAAAAAATGCATTATTATGTAGTTGATTTTTGAGAAATTTAGTTAGTTAAATTTGTTGAAGGAAATTGTTCTTTTCTACTAAATCATAATGATGTTTGTATACAAATCAGTCTAATTAATAATGAATTATGTTTGTTTATGCAGATCGGAGTATGATACTCTTGGTAACTCTGTTAAAGCTGCCCTTGTTTATCTTGGAACAGCTTTGGTGAAAGTCAGTACAACTTGTAACTATCAGCGTTGGTGTTTATGCCAAGTGTTTTCAATAGTTAATTTATGTTGTTTATTTTTCTATCCTGGCAGCTTGTTTTCCTTGCAACATTTTTGCAGGTACTGAGAACGATGGCTTTGATCCATACCAGGTATTTTTTTCTTGTTCTGGGATTGGAATCTACATGGAGGAATGCATATATTGCTCTAATTGTAAATGGTTTCCCATTTTTGTTGTAGTTTGTGGCGTTTGATTTTATGATGTTATTAGTTAGAATTGAATATTAAAACTTTTACTACTTTCTTAACTGCAATTGCATAAGAGTCTGTTAGAGATATGGATTGTAATACTGTCACAGGTCCATTTGAACAGTATATACATTTTAAACTCATGGAGAAATTTGTTACTTGTGCATTTTTCAGGAATTTTTGAAAGCATTTATTGGTTTTATAGATGTCGCTGGACTTTATTTTGTCTTAACACAGTTGACACACAGGAATATCTCTCAAAATCATAAATTTCAAGCTGTTGGACTTGGTGAGTTAGATTTTGTCTCTAGTTTTTGAAGTTGAAATTCAGTTTTGCACCCTTCTTAATACAATCCCCTCCAAATAAAAATTAGATAAAAGAAAGAGCACCATCTTGCATTTGTGGGTTTGACCCTTAAGGATGTCACCGTTCATCGGATAATCTAAACAATTGATGAGTGAATTACTATGACTAAGGGCATGACCTTTATAGAAAATAATATTGTGATATTAATAAAATGTTCAGATGGATCAGTCCAAGAAGCTTCAGAATTCAGATCACTCATTGTAACACCGTTTTTAAGTATTCATGGATTAATACCTTAATTTCTGTTATTGATGAATATTTAGTGCTAGCTTCAGAATTCAGATCACTCTAATAATTTGATACTTTTCTAGGAGCTGCGAAGCTCAAACTCATATATAATATATTTTCTTTGTTATCTCTTTGTTTTCTGTATATGTACAGTCCTTATGGGTTTGAAGTAATGGTATAATTCTTCGTTTTAAGGAATTCAGAAGAATCAAGCAATGAGGGAACATGCTTGTTAGCACAGTGTTCAGGGACTTAGAGGACTTGTCTTGAGACCAAATATTCTTGCTTGTTGTAGTACAATGGTTCTACCCTTATTTATATTTTTCTACTGTTTTTAGCAGTGCTAATTTGACATTTCTTATTCATTCACTTGCCCCTTTTTTGCAATAGGAACTTGATGATAATGTCAAGTTAAAGCTCTCTCCATTTTGCCATGTTCCGGTAATGAAACATGAATTCTATTTGTCTGCTTCTCTTCCATCTCCTAAATCAGTAACTACTGTTATTAAGAAATATGACTTCTTTCTAGGCCGAAAATACTGTCACTCTCTATGACGTTCCAAATATTTGGCACATTCCTTTACTACTAAGAGTAAGTAGTTCACTTTTTGAGTTCTTTTTATCGTCTAAAATTCTTATAGTACAAAGTTATAACTGGAAATATATGTTCCTTGATTCATTTGTTTATTTTACTGATCATGAATAGGATCAAAAGGCACATGAAGCAATCTTGAAATGATTGAACCTACTAGGGTTTTCCCTATGAACTTTGAGGGACTTAGACATGCATGCTTTCTTGATCCAAAATTATAAGATTTCATTGCTTATCCCTCTTTTGTATTTCCTTAACTTTTCTAAGAATACAAACTTGCTCAGATTCTTGGGGTAAGAATTCTAACTTCTAAAAGTAAGATGGCAACCAATACATTATTAAATTTTTTCTTTACGATGACATTTTTTACATTCTTATGTAGAATATATTTTAGTTTTCATGGTTCCTGACTTCCTGTTTTTGTTGTTTGTTGCAACATCTTTTTTCAGTTCTCAATCACTCACATGTATGTTATGAATGCAAGTTCTGCTGGTTGTTTCCTTCTCTTCTTAGTCTCATCTAAATTATTGTAATTGCAGTAATCTTGAAGAACAAACTTCAACAAAAAGCGACTTCTTCAATAGACTGGCACAGCGTTTCCCATTTGTTTTTAATCTATTGAGGAGAGATCATTCACTGTCAAATGATACTTTCAAATAAGATGTCAAGACGATGAATATGACAAATTCCAATAAAGTGGGAAACAAAGTAGCTTTAGAAGGCATATCTGGAGGTTATGATGATGACGCTAGTGAAATTGAGGATGTATCGAACAACAAATCCATGTATATCTACACTTTGAGGTTCAGTTGTAACTCATTTGTACTTTAATGTCTTTTAAGGTTCTCTCTCCATAAAAAAAAACTTTAATTTATTTTGTTGTTAAGAATTTTTCTTTATGTTTTTTGTCTTAATTAAAATGTATGGTTGTTGTTAATTAGATAAAACTATATATAAATTTAGGTGATGTATAGCAGAAATGAAATATGCAAAATCAATTAATATTAGCTAAATAAAGGTAATTAGCGGCTTAAATCCAAAAACGCCGCTATATGTTTGACATTGCGGCGTTTGTGTTCAAAAACGCCGTTATAGGTCTGACATTTTGCGGCGTTTGTGTCCAAAAACGCCACTATAGGTCTGACCTTTTACGGCGTTTGTTCTAAAAACGCCAGTATATGTCTTATCTTTTGTGGCGTTTGTATCCAAAAACGCTGTTATAGATCTGACTTTTTGCGGCGTTTTTTCTAGAAACGCCGCTATATATCATAACTTTTTGCGGCGTTTATTCCAAAAACGCCGCTATAGATATCGACCTTTTGCGGCGTTTGTTCAAAAAACGCCGTAATAGATATTGACCTATTGCGGCGTTTTTTGTTCTCAAACGCCGCTAACTTTAGCGGCGCTGGTAATACCGGCGCTTCTTGCGGCGTTTTTCCTTTCGCCGCAAATACTTTTAGCGGCGCTTAAAAACGCCGCTATAAGACTAAAAAAACGCCGCTAAAACTCTATTTTGCTGTAGTTTATATATATCAAAACAAGATTTTAAGAAGCATGAAGCTGAACATAATTAAAAACCTGGGTCAAATACAGGGGGGGAGTACATTACACATTGTGATCAAGGAAAAAAAAAAGAACAACTGATAGTATATCACTATATCAGTTCATCCATTAAAAAAAACATGAAAAGGAAAGAAAGGCGGCTGCCGGACTCAATTTGGAGTGTGGTGATTGGGCATCGGCCAGCAATAGATAAAAAAGAGATGATATTATCCTCATTAGCCCTTACTGTGAGCGTATAGGGAACGAATGTTCCACATTAAGAATTCCAGTCTCAAAACATTTTGGGTCCCTCCCCACCCCCCAACAACACCTTTTATTTAGAGTTTATACACACGTGTTCTTAAATAGTAGATGGTAAGATGTCGTATGAGAAACGCACTCAAGGCCAATCAAGATGCGGATTAGGGGAAGATATTGTTTTGGACACTCAACTTATAATATAAATCAAATTTACCCACATCATGACTATTTAAAAGCACTACTTACCGTGTACGAGACTTCTAAAATCAAAGCCCCCCCCCCCCCCCCAGTCTGCTTGTGGAGGATGTGTTTGGTCGTGGATCACGATCACTTCTTACAAATGTTACGACTTTTTTTTCCAAAAAAAGGTAAACAGGTTATTAACACCTTAAAAATAAATATTTTTCCTACAAAAACACATATAGATAGATAGATAGGTAGATAGATAGATAGATAGATAGATATATAGATAGATAGATAAATAGATAGTAATAAACGTATATGCACATATTTTACATAATACAACCATTAATCTTATTCACTGTTTTTTAGACTGTACAAAGTCAACAATTTATTCTCTTCTTACGTCTAATCAAATCGAACAAGGACCAATTCCCACCACCCTCACTTCTTAATCTGTGTAAAAATGTTCGGTTCGTTATGTAATTATCAAAGTAGTGATTGGTTCAGAGTAAGAGAAATTTTTAAACTTAGTTAATGGTATCTGGCATGCTGCTGCATGTTATGTCAAATATATATATGTATATTCTTGTATGATAGGGTAGGATGGAACATTATATTAACAATTGGTTAAGGTTTAGCCTCACGCGGTGTGGTAGGTAAGATGTCACAAATTCTACATTCTCATTTGTAATAGTTGAAGCTTAAAGTTGTAGTATTTTGAAAGCTTTGCGGTTTTCTAATTCTGATTCAAGCGTCTATCAGTAGTTCCAGCGGTTCTCTGTTTTTAAAAGATCCGATCATATTAAGAATATGATCCTATAATTAGTAATTGACAACCGTATATAATTTATATAATTGTTACTTGTTAGAATCAAGTTGATCAAATAATGGAATTGAAAATTTATAATTCAGTCAGTTGAATACAAATTGGCATGAACCATTAAAAAAAATCCGATTAAAGCCAAATAAGAAAAAGAATTCCATCTTCAACGTGGCAGTGCCAACTATGGCCATACTGAATTAGGAAAATAGAAACCAAACAACTAGAGGTTTTATGGCGTTTCCCCCTATATATCACCTTTTACTTTATATTTTCACCATTCAAATTATTTTATTTTTGATCTAACACCCTTTGCAGTAATGAGCGTCCCATGCAACGCGCTTTACGTTGATCTGGCGTCACGTGGGGTATAGCGCGGGACAGAGACCGCGCTTTACCTTTAAATCTGACACGCGTCAGTAAGACGCGCCCCCTACGACGCGCCTTAGGTTTAATTACCCACCTACCCCAATCGTTCACACCCCACTCCTCCCTATAAATACCCACTTTCACAATCATTTTCATCACACCAAATCCTCTCAACTTCTCTCAAATACTCTTATATTCTATTTTAACTATTTAAGGTATATTTTATTATATTTAATATTTTGTTTTTAATTTATTTAAGTATTTAAATTTTTTAATATTTTATTTAATTAATTTTTTACAGATATAAAATGGAAGGAGGTCTAATTTGCTTTGATGAAAATCATATATCGCGACATTTTGCTGATACGGTAATATTTAACGTTTTAATATAATTCAAATTTTTAGTAATAATTTATTTATTTATTTAATGCATGATTATTAGTTTAAAAATTAATTTTTGTAATTATTTAATTTTAAGAGAGAGACCGTGTATTTATTAGGAACCTTAAGTTAGTGATACCTAGCCATGTCTTGCCGTATTTAGTAGAGGTTGGATTCGGTTACATAGGTAGATATGATGGTCACTGTAAGATAGAACTAGACCTTATTTCTGCCTTAGTGAAGCGGTGGAGGCCGGAGACCCACACATTCCATCTTCCGTGCGGAGAGTGCACGATTACACTTGAGGATGTTTCTATGCACCTGGGGCTTCCGATGGATGGAGATGTGATATCGGGGATGACGCATGGTTCATGGACTGCTTTGTGCCGGGACTATCTAGGACGTGTCCCGGAAAGTTTTAACGGTGTTCGAATACCGTTAAATTGGTTATATGCCAATTTTCGGGAGTTGAGCGAGGATGTCTCTGATGATGAAGTTAAAATGTATGCACGAACATGCATATTGCAGCTGATAGGAGGGTTGCTGATGCCGGACAAATCGCGCAACCAAATTCACTGTATGTGGTTGCGACATCTTGGCGACTTTCGTCTGGCCGGATCACTCAATTGGGGCTCGACAGTTTTGGCTTTCATGTACAGAGAGATGTGTCGAGCCACTGACTACAAGAAGAATGCTATCGACGGATGTCTCCTACTGCTGCAGTCTTGGGCATGGTATCGATTGCCCTTTTTATGTCCTATTGTCAAAAACCCATTCGTATTTCCGCTACTCTTGAGGTAATTATAAATCTGATTTCGTATATTAATCATTTTATACAGTGTATAATAAATTTTGTTTTCCTTGAATAGGTGGTTTACTGATAGGAAAAATCATTAGGAACTACCTGATGATTTAGAAAAAAAATTAGGGTGCTAATCGATCAAAAGGTTGACACACAGGTATGTCTTTTAATGTTTAAAAATCGATTTTAGATTATAGTTGTATAATTAGATTATTATTTTGATAAAAATTATATATATTTATTTTAGTTTGAATATGTGTCATATTCTAATGATGATGTGAGGATTGTGATCCCACCTGAGTTGAGGGGCCCATTAGATGTTTGGATGGCGATGATCCCTTTGATCTGTTATGTTATCATCGAGTGGCACTCCACTGATCGCGTGCTCCGACAATTTGGTTGTTTTCAGCCGATTCCGGAAGCACCTCGCAATATGGACGAGTTGCATAGCACAGATAGACGCGACAAGACCGATACAGATTGGCTGGTGAGGCATCACGAGTGGGTCGTGCTGTGGGAGGATCGACATCGGCACCATCATCGCTTCTTCTTTGCTTGAAAACTTCATGCCTAAAGATAACTCACCATTATTTATTGATGAGTAATATCCATAGTTACCGAGATGAGACATATCCGTAAATTCTGACCCGTACATTGCACTATAATAAGCTTCGTACATATGTACTGGAGGGTCAGCTTGTGCCACATTTGAGGGAACTTTATCTACATCATTATCGGAGTTGAATTGAGGTGATTCTGGGTGAATGAATAGTCCAGTCTCAACACCATCCGCACCAGGCTCACGAAGCGGTTCTTCTGGTGGAGATGATGGTCCCTCCATGCTCTCCACATTTAGGTCGAAGAACCTACTACTTGCTCATCTTCCCCTTGAACTAGAAGGTATATCGACATTGAGATCGAAAAAGCTCGTAGTGGAATGCCTTCCCCTGGAGCTTGAAGCCATCGTGTCAAATGGAAACTGCACAAATTATTGCATCGATGACATCTCCATATTAAGATCAAAGAAAATTGCAGATGAATGTCTTCCCCTTGAACTGGACGCGATGTTGCCATACGGATTGTTCATGGACCCACCTCAGTACATATCGTAAGAAGTTGCGGATGAATGTCTCTTCATTGAAGTTGATGTGATGGCACCATAATGCGGATTTTCCATTATGGCGTTAAAATCATTACACATTATTGTAGTCGTGCTGTCAACTTGATCTACTTGTTCAGTCAACCCATAGTGAGAGCTTAATGACTGACCCCGAACAACACGCACTTGAACAAACTTTGCATGCATCTCAATATCGGCGTCTGGATAATTACTTTGAGAATCCGCTATCATTTCAACATCATTATTGTTCGATAGTTCGAACGCTGTATAAGTTAATGACAACAATGATGTTGGAAATCTATACTGCAATGACGACATCCTTCTACTACTTCTAACATGAACATTCCTCGAAATATTCATTATCAGCTCCTCAAGAGTTATGTTTCTCTTGAATGATATTTTAATACGCTCATTTAATACGAAAACAACGTCGGTTTCATTTTCTCGAATTTCTCCATAATAATAAACAATAGCTGAAAGTCGCTCCATTCTTAGAGTTTAAAAGTGCGACAATATTATATTTGCAAAAAAATAACTAAAACAAACATGATTAAATAAATAATATATGAACTAAAATATAACACAATAAATTTTTTACTCGTGAACGTAAATAATTTAAATAATATAATTTTATATTATTATCTGCACCGCAAAAATATTTCGACGTATGCTCCCGCTTTCCAATTTTACAAACACATAAATTAATTGAAAACAATTAGTATAATATTTTTTTTTCAAATAATTATATATAATTATAACAAAATAATATAACAAAATTACCTTATAACGAAAGATCGAACGAACTTCTTAATCAAATATAAGAAGATTGTCAGGTATTATTTACTGGTTGAAAGGATTGTTGGTGAGAGAGTTTACGGGGAGATAATTATTTATAGCCGATAGATGATGCTTTAAAGTTGAGAAGTTCGGGTAAATTATGCAAGGCGCGATATCTGCACAACGCCTTATATTATGTATGTATAATAATTGAGCATGTGATAATCGAAAAGCACGACCTTACCCCACGTGGTACTATATTAACGTAAAACGCACTACAAAGACGCATCATATTATAAAGGATATTATATCAAAAAAAATTATCCGAAAGATGTATGACAGAAAAATATGTAATATATCAGGAAAAACGCCAGGTTTTATTCTCTTATCGCCATCATTAAAATGCTTATCGGTTAAACAAGACTATCCTTGTAATTTACCAAAAAACTTGCCCAACATGCTACCTCCAATATAGTTCACCAAGGTTATTCATGTCATTAAACATGTCAAAATCCACACGGGACCGAAAATAGACCATAGAAACCGAGACCTGACCATGTTCCATTCTTCTTCACCGCCTTGTGACTTCCCTGCACTGCGTTCTCTCTCTCTTAAAGTTTCTGTTTTTCCACCTCTCTGAAGTTTTCCACTGAGTTTTCTTATTTATTAAGGTAAGCAGTCGAATTTGTTCAATAGTTTTTGGGTGCAAAAACGAAGTGTGAACCACCCACTCTCCATCTATCTTTTAATCAGTAAATCTTAATTTCTATCCACACTTCAACATCAAAACCAGACACCAAGAACGCCATCTCAACTGCTTTAGTTTTGGACCAACCTAGGCCCTTCAATCTCTCTCCGCTAAAACATCTTCTGTTTATTATTTTCTGGTGCTGTATTTTTATTAAATCAAATTAGATGATGGCTTCAGAAATGCAGAAACCCACCAAGAAAAACAGAGGATTCTACATTAAGATGAGGATATTACACAGAGGCCGACAACTAGAAAAAAGCCTCTTTTTCAAATATTATCAATGGATTCTTTGGTTTTCTTTTACTCTCTATTTCCTCACCTCTTTCTTCATCCCTAACAAGCCAATACCTTTGTCAAAAACCCATGTCTATGGTTCCAAATTCTCCTTAGTTTCTCGTGTTCTGTTTGAATCTGTCAATAAAACTAGTCAACAATCCAACCTCAAGAACCCAGGTTTTTTCTCCCTTCCTCTTTCACCATGCTTGTCCATTTTTCTTTTGAAAATCGATGTTTTTAATGTGTTGTTTTCTCTCTGGCAGCGACTTTAAAAGACTTAAAGATATACATCTACGAGTTACCATCAGAATACAATGAAAACTGGCTTTCCAACAAGCGATGCAGCAACCAATTGTTTGCCTCGGAGGTGGCCATTCATAGAGCCTTGTTGAACGCCTACGAATTTAGAACATTCGACCCTGATGAAGCCGATTTCTTTTTCGTCCCTGTTTATGTCTCCTGCAACTTCAGTATTGTTAATGGTTTCCCAGACATCGGCCACGCACATTCTCTTTTATTCTCCGCCATCCAGTATGTCTCCTCTAACTATCCTTTCTGGAACAACTCCAATGGTTCAGATCACATCTTCGTTGCTTCCCATGATTATGGAGCCTGCTTCCACGCCATGGTAAGCAAAAAATAGTCTCCCACAAAAAAGAAGTCTTTAATAGTATCCTTAATCCACTTTTTTTTTTATTAAAATTTGATTTATTTTTTTAGGAGGATAGAGCTATTGATAATGGGATTCCAGAGTTTTTGAAGAACTCGATAATATTGCAAACATTCGGGGTTAATTACAAGCATCCTTGTCAGGATGTTGAAAATGTTCTCATTCCGCCTTATATCTCGCCGGAAAGCATAGGGAAGACTCTGGAGAAGGCTCCGTTGACTGGGAATCGGGACATCATGGTCTTTTTCAGGGGTAAAATGGAAGTCCACCCTAAAAACGTTAGTGGGAACTTTTATAGCAAGTAAGTTCCAAAATTGAACTTCATTGCATGCTAAAATTACGTGTTTATTCATGTTTCTAATGTTGTTTGTTTGGTTTTATTTTAGGAGGGTGAGGACGGAAATTTGGCGGAGGTATAAAGGAGATAAGAGGTTTTACTTGCGAAGGCATAGATTTGCCGGTTACCAGTCAGAAATTTTACGGTCTGTGTTTTGCTTATGTCCACTTGGATGGGCTCCCTGGAGTCCAAGACTTGTTGAGTCCGTGGCTTTGGGTTGCGTCCCGGTGATCATAGCAGACGATATCAGGTTGCCGTTTCCCTCCGTCGTGAAGTGGGCGGAGATTTCCCTCACGGTGGCAGAAAGGGACGTCGGGAAGCTGGGTCATATCCTGGAACACGTGGCGGCGACCAATTTGTCAACCATTCAGAAGAACTTGTGGGACCCGACAGTCAAGAGGGCCTTACTGTTCAATGACTACATGCAAGAAGGAGATGCCACATGGCAGGTTTTAATTTCTCTTTATAATAAACTAGACAGATCGTATAGGAGGTCGAGAGTTTGTAGCCAATAGGAAGAAAACACGTCGGATGAGTTGCCGGCTATGGAGGTAAATATGGCAACATGGGATGTGGGTGCATGGTGTTTATAATGGAGGACAGCTTGGATCGCCAGTGTCATTTAATCAGAGGCGGATGGAATTTATTTTAGAGGGTGGGTCGGTGGACCCACATAAAAAAGCTTGCGAATTTTTTTGTTCCTTTTCGAGATTTTTTTTGCCGCAATGTAAATGGAGAGAAACAAAACTTTTTGGTTAATGACACAGATGGGATAGTTTTAGGACAAGACAACCTGTATGAGCATTCACTTAACATTTTTAAAGTGATTGGAATTTGGATCCATGTTCAATTGTTTGAGATGCTGTAATCCTGTAAAGTTTAGAAATGGTAAAAAAAAGTGTATATAACTTGAATAGGATATGGAAACATGAGTGAGAAAAATAACTTTTGTTATTGGGGTAAAGGGTGCAAAAGTGGAGAAGAGAGAGAAATAAAATGGGCTGGTATTGAACAGGTAAAAATGTCAGAGTGCCTTAAATAAGTGTTTTTTTTAAAAAAATCATCGATAATCGGTATATTTATCAATATAACATCGATCAGATTATATTTTTTTGATCTAACACCCGTAACAGTAAAGTGCACTCTCTGTCTCGCGTTATATGTTGATTTGGCGTCACGTGGGGTATAACGTGCCCCCTGTACCGCGATATTCGTTGACATAGCTTACACGTGAGAATAGCGCGACCCCTGATCCGCGTTGTACGCCATGTAGGGGTATAGCGCTGTCCCTGCTCAGCGCTATACCTAGGTACGAATTATATTTAGCGCGGATCCTGGTCCGCGCTATGTATTTATCTGAATAATTACATATAGCGCGGTATAGGTACCGAACCTTATATGGTTATAAATATCCTTCGCTCCCGTTAAGTTTCTCACATCTCCTCACATCTCTCTCGTCTAACTTATAAATTAATACAACAATTCCGTCAACGCGTAATAATTCTAGTAATTTTCTCATATTTGATTTAGAAGTTCGTGCGATTTTTCGTTATAATTTTTTTATTATACTTATTGTTTATTATGATTATTTGAAAAAAAAATATTATACTAATTATTTTCAATTAATTTTTGTGTTTGTAAAATTGAAAAGCAGGAGCATACGTCAAAATAGTTTTGCGGTACATGTAATAATATAAAATTATATTATTTAAATTATTTACGTTGATGTGTAAAAAATTTATTGTGTTATATTTTCGTTCATATATAATTTATTTAATCATGTTTGCTTCAGTTTTCTTTGCAGATATAATATTTTCGTACTTTTAAACTTAAAAAATTGCACGGCTTTCAGTTATTATTTATTATGATGGTGAAATTTGAGAAGATGAAACCGACGTTGTTTTCGTATCAAAAGAGTGTGTTAAAATATCATTCAAGAGAAACATAACTCTTGAGGAGCTGATAACAAAGATTTCGAGGAAGATTCATGTTGGAAGTAGTAGAAGAATGTCGTCATTGCAGTACAAATTTCCAACATCATTGTTGCCATTAACTTATACAGCGTTTGAACTTTCGAACAATGATGATGTTCAAATGATGGTTGAAGCTCAAAGTAATTATTCAGACACCGCTATTGAGATGTATGCACATTTTGTTCAAGTGCGTGCTGTTCGGGGTCAATCTTTAAGCTCCCACTATGGGCTGGCAGAACAAGTTGATCAAGTTGAAAGCTCGACTACAGTAATGTGTAATGATTTTAATGTCATAATGGGGAGACATTCATCTGCAACTCCTTATGATATGTACCGAGGTGGGTCCACGAACAATCCGTATGGTAACACCGCGTCTAGTTCAAGGGGAAGACATTCATCTGCAAATTTCTTTGACCATATGGAGATGCCATCGACGCAACCATCTGTGCAGTTTCCATTTGACACGATGGCTTCAAGCTCTAGGGGGAGGCATTCGATTGCGAGCTTTTTCGATCTCAATGTCGATATGCCTTCCAGTTCAAGGGGAAGGCGTGCAAGTAGTAGGTTCTTCGACCTAAATGTGGAGAGCATGGAGGAACCATCATCTCCACCAGAAGAACCGCTTCGTGATCCTGGTGCGGATGGTGCTGAGACTAGACTATTCATTCACCCAGAATCACCGCAATTCAACTCCGATGATGATGAAGTTCCAGGAAATGTGGCACAAACTGACCCTCCTGCACACATGTATGAAGCTGATTATGGTGCAATGCACGGGCCAGAATTTGCGGATATGCCTCATCTCGGTGACTATGGATATTACTCATCAATAAATAATTGTGAGTTATATTTAGGCATGGAGTTTTCAAGCAAAGAAGAAGCGGTGATGGCTATAAAAAATTATAATATCCGTAATTCTGTTCAGTCCAGAGTCAATCGATCGATGACCGAAAAATATGTATGCTATTGTGCCCGATGCGAAAATGGATGCAATTGGATGGTTCGCGTATCGAAAATGAAGAGGAAAAACAACATATGGGAACTAACAGTATACAACGGTCCTCACATATGTTGTGCTGGAGGGGTCAACCAAGATCATCCCAACTTGGACTCTGAAATGATATGCCAAGCCATTATGCCCATGGTAAAAACAAGCTCTCATATAGCTGTTGCAGTGTTGATTTCAACTATACAATCGTAGTATGAGTATACTGTCTCCTATAAAAAAGCTTGGTTGGCAAAACAAAATGCCATTGTCAAACTTCATGGCGAATGAGATGCATCTTACAACGAACTTCCAGGTTGGTTTAGGCTGGTGCGGACGTTGAATCCTGGGACAATTGTGGAATTCAAAACCTCCTATGCATACCATAATGATCGAGTTCTTTGCGATCAAAGCCAATTCTACAGGTTTTTTTGGAGTTACCCACAGTGCGTTAATGCTGCCAAATACTGCAATCCTGTGGTCCAGATCGATGGGACTTTCTTGTATGGAAAATACAAGCAAGTTTTATTATTGGCAGTTGTCCAATATGGAAATCGCAACATTCTTCCAGTTGCTTTTGCTCTTGTCGAATGAGAAGATACATATTCTTGGGCTTTTTTCCTCCGAAATTTACGTGCAGATGTTATCACGAGGGAAAACATCTGTGTCATTTCAGATCGCGGAGCTGGGATCAAAGCATCAATGGAGTCTTTGAGTCTAATGTGGCAATCACCCTTTGTCCAACATAGGTATTATGTCCGATGCATTGCTGTGAACTATCATGGAACGTACAAGAAGAATTATGAGAGTCAATTAATTGTGCGCATGGGTAAGTGAAACTGATATAGTTTGTTTTCTTTCAATCGTTTTAATTTTGCAAAGAAAACAAGTTAGTAAGTTATACATTTTTTGATTAGGTTACGAACTACTTCCTCGAACGTTTAAATCAATGCTTCAAGATTTGCGGGCGAAGAACGAGGAAAGATACGATTACATCAGCCTCATCGATAAAGAAATATGGACGAACGCATATGATTGTGGATATCGATATGGACACACGACAACCAACTTGCCAGAGACAATCAATTCAACTTTAAAGGGTGCACGTCACTTACCAGTAGCGGCTTTGGTAAAGACTATATATTTTCGTTTGGGGGCGCTTTTTGCGAAGCTCGGGGGACAAGCTCAAACCTGGATGCAAGGCAGTCATGTCTATCACCCTAGATTAGTTGCAGATCTATAGAAAAAAATTGCTACATCAAATGGAATGTCTGTAACAAGCTTCTCTAGAAGGCATGAAATGTTTCGTGTCACAGAGTTGCCGCGACCTCTTCAAGGGATTGAAGCTGTGTCGTTAAGAATAAATCTAAGGGACAGAACGTGCGACTGCAAGTTTTTTCAAGCTCTGAAGTATCCATGCTCTCATATGATAGCAACATGCTCGCATACACGTCAAGACTATAACCATTTTGTGGATCTCGTATACCTATTATCTGAAGTTTTTAAGGTATACAAATTTGAGTTTCCCCCCATAGGTAATGACAAAGACCCTGATAAGGTTCAAGATTGGCTTCCGATTGTACCAAATTTGAGTTTATTGAGAGAGCGTGGTCATCCAAAATCCAATCGAATTCATTGCGATATGGATATTCGAGAAAGATCTAGACAAGACAGAAGATGTGAGCATTGTAGAAACCCAGGACACACTAGAAAAACATGTCCACTTCTGTTGCCATCAAGTAACAATTAAAGAGGAAATGATGTATTTGTTTATCAAATAATAATTCTTGTACTTTGATTTGCATTTACTTCAAGTTAATGTCATTCGATAATAGCTTATGAAGATTAAAAAAACGAACACAATCATTAAATTTTATCAAACTAATAACAATTTGGTATTTGAATATAATTTTAAATACAACAAACTTACAATAAGAATTAAATGGTAAATGATAACCAAATTACAATAACTGATATTAAATGGTAATAAACAAAATTAACTGAAATACATTAAAAAAAGTCCAACAAATTTAACAAAATAAAGTAAATACAAATATAATAAAAAAATCTATCGATGCCTGCGATGTGAATGTGTTTCGCAGGGCGGTGACTGTCGGTCTCGAGGAGGATTTCTTCGTATCACTGGTTCTGACTTCTCGCTGTCATCATCATTACCATCATCGTCGTCGTCGTCGTCCTGAGTAGGTACATTAGGTTGATGAGGAGCTGATGATGATGAAGCACCTCCATATAATAAGGACCCTGGAGGTGTATGACTGACTATCCCACCGACCTGCAAAAACTAGGAAAACTCATAAAACCCAGACATCGCTGAGTGTGAAAACTGTACAGAAGGTGTCTGTACTGCGGCCATGGGTGATGAGGTTGAACTCGCCAGATATCCAGCATATGAACCCCAAGTAGGATCTGCAAACATAGACCCATAATAGCCTCCAAGATGGGTCATCTGTGACGGCGGCGGCGGCGGGGTCATAAAACCAGGTGAAGGCGGCAGCGGCGACATTTGGTAATGGAAAGGCGGCGGCATCATAAATGGCTGCGGTGGTTGCAGTGAAGGTCCTACTGGTGCAGTTGAGGATGAACCGGAAGCACCTGCTCTTCGCCCACGAGTCGGGGGACGATGGAGCTGTGTCGGTGAACGTCTATGTCGATATCGCGGAAAGATCTGCCCTCGTGCATCATCGGAAAGCAGAAACGGTTTCCTGTTACTGTTGAACCACTCATAATAACCGTCAGCAATACTCAAGAGGTCAAGTAAAATGGGCTCTCTATGGGGAAGACGCCGATGTCTGTCCTCCCAAAATACAACCCACTCATG